TTCCCCGTACCAAACTCTATCCAGATATCCTGCTCTTGATGCTGATACTGATAGAAAATTGCGAGAATGATCACATCAGTATCCATAGTTTTTATCAAGATTCTTTTCAAATTATTTTCCATACAATTTTGAGTATGAACAAAAATCCGAGTATCAGCTTCCTCATGGTTGCAAACACCAGTTATTTTATTGATTCCTAGGGATCCACTATTGTAAAGTGTTTCCTCAATTGTATTACATACTACTACTGTATTCTCGGGTAATGGCATGTCTTTGAGGTGGTTCGAAATTAAATCGAACAATCGTTTCTTATTTTCCGAGTCTCTCAAGAAGTCATTCCAATTTCGTGGAATGCTGGTGTTTTCTCTTACCAATTTCATGTTCCCTTTCCCCTCTTTTCTCTTGCCTTCAAGCTGTTATCAATATAAATATCCCAGATTACATCAATCCTCTTATAGGTATCTAAAATTCTTAGAATATAAGGCTTTAAAATAAAAGAGATATATTCCTGAAAAGTACAGCAAGCCTTGGGTTGTAGTATATGTACTAATGCAGCACCATCGATCAATACAGCATCAACATCAGTTGGTTTACTCTCAACTGTTATGTATTTGTCTAAGCATCGTAATAAATCTGATTCCGTGTAATGGTACATTTGACCAAGTTGAGCGAGTGAGGGTGGATAAGGATGATTCTCAAATTTGAAAAAAAAATTCACCATCTTTATTCTGTGACACAACGTAAAGTCTACTGAATGAAGTAACATCTGATTTCAATTTTTTCACTTTACTTGATTTATTCTGCTTATTTTTTTTATTCTTGAAGGGAATGTTATTATCTTTAGTGATTGGTTCAGAAATTGGTTTTTTCGAGTGCATCAACCTATCATGGAAAAATTCTCTGCATTGATGGACGCCTTTATCTAATAATAGTCTCAAACATTCGTCATTCACGACAATTATACTATCTAGAGCGAATAATTCAGTAGAGGTTTCCTGGAACGGATTACCATATGTTTTGAAGGTATCTGATCCGAATGAAGAAGGACATTGGAAGAAGAAAAATGGATACCATTCTGGACAACTATCAAGAATGGAAGATTGGAAACCGATCATATAATGATTAAATGCCAATGTAAAATTTGTGATCATAAATGCAAATGTTTCCTGAGGAAATTAAAATGTACACAATTATGTACCTGTAAGGAATGCTGCAATTAGCGTTGTATAGTACCTGATTTTATATTTGTTTCATTTTATTTCCAGAGTTGATGAGTTTATTCTCATGTTCTCAGATTGTTTTATGTAGTTTTCGGAGTTGATGAGTCAATTTTAATGCTTTTAGATTGTTTTTATTACAATAAAAATGTTTAAATTGTTGTACCTTTATTGTTAGATTTTCCACATTCCTTCTTGAATCCAAGTAGTATCCTACATAATTATTTGTCAGTGTGATGAGTGAATTAACTTCTTCCTCTCACGTCATATAGTAAAATGTTCATCTCTCACGTTGCATGCACCAACGGTAGGTAGGTAGGTATTTTTTATCATTTTTCACACATTATTCTACCAAACGCGCATGTGTTCGTACGCCACTGGATGCCTCCTCTATATAGATATCTCCAACTTCATATATATCGTTCGATAGAAAAAACTGCAAGCTTCATTTTTTCTCTCATCGAATTTTTCGATTCTTTGAACCGTTTAATAGTTATGAGGAAAAACATGACAGCCTAGAACTCCCTCCTCCCATATATTTTTTATTGGGAGCTGACATTGAGATTTTTGATCAATCAAAAAATATCTTTCAGATGTGAAATTCAATTTTCTTTCGAATGGCGTAAATCGCGAATCTCTATCTCTCACCGTTTTTGGGAAAATAATATTTATATGCAATTGTACGCACCACCCCTTCGAGAAGGGGGTGGGGGTGTCTCCGCGGCTTTCAGGGGTGGGTCTGCCCCTGAATCTCTTCATTTTTACTTACTCTATGCCTGTTTGAAAGGATTTGCTTTTACTCAGAAGGGGAAGTATCGACCATCGTAGGACCTTAGCTACTATATTGGTGTGGCCCATTTTGTATGTTCCACTGGTTCTAGTATTCCTTGTTCAACCAATTTATCTAGTTCTTCTTCCACTCGAGGTTTCAATGCATATGGAATTCTTCTGGCCTTAAACAGTATGGGTTTCACATTCGGGTCTAAATTCAGCGAAATTGGTGGCCCCTTGAAATGACCCAACTGGACATCAAAAACTTCTTGAAATTCCAACAATAACTTGGTTTCTCGATCCTGTAATGATTTCTCGACTGCGTTGATTCCGATCAGCGATATGTTCAACGATGAGAACCAATTTCTGCCCAATAGATTAGCCGTATTCTTAGCGATGATCAATGATAGTTCTCGCGTCAAACTACCAAACACAACCTGTACCTCGCAACATCCTAGAGTTTCAATAACATTCCGCTGATAATCTCGTAAACTGAAATCTGTTTTCCGAAGTTCGGGTTTCTTATCAGGAAATGTAATGGAAGGACTCTGCACCAATCATAAAATAAGCTGCACCACTATCTACACCCATCACTATCTGTTTCTTATTGATCATTACAGTCACTTTAAAATCGGCACATTCCTTCGGACCCACTGTATAAACATAGGGTTCAAAAATGTCTTCTTGACTTGTGTTGTCAGATATTGTCATGTCATTGAAACCAGACTGAATGACATCTACTGGACAAACAAACTCTCTCAATGTGACCCATTTTCTTGCAAAAATTGCAAACGGCATTTTTGAAAGAACAATCATCTGCGGAATGTTGATTGCCACAACGGTAACACGGAAACTTTTTCGCTTGGTGATTGATTTAGAACAGTCAACTCATTAACAACGTCAACAACGTCCAAGCTACCTACGATATATAACAGTCGCATACTAGGTTTTCATTTAGAACGACAATGGTTTCAACTAAGACTCTAGTGTCATTGGATTCTCCATTTTATATTTGTGACAATTTCGACTTTCACGTCAAAGTTCCACTGCGTTTGAGATGTGAAAAGAAAACCGGTTTGGATAAAGAATTTTATATATTAGAAAACGGAAATATAGCTCTTCAATTTTTTCGTCAGCAAGAATAGACAGCGTGACACATTATAATGCTGATGGAGGTGTTCTATTCGATGATGATTTCTTCAAATTCGATCAAAACTAGCTGGTGAATCTGTTAATAAACGGGAATACGCTGGTATTCAAGCTGGGTACACCTTCGTCTATTTGTATTGATATGATGTTGCAGTATCCATTGGTAAAGAATGAGTAAAGCTCAAGTTGTATCTGAACTACATAAACCAGCACGTATTAATTACATACAATCACATGTTGTAGTTAAAGGTTTACATGATTTCCTACAGGCGGATTTGGCTATCATGAAAACTTTTGCCAGAGAAAGTCGGGGATTCAACAATATTCTTGTAGTTATCAATGCTTTCAGTGAGTTTGTTTGGGCAGTACATGTTGAAAGAAAAAAATGCTAAAGATATCACAAATGCTATGAAAAAGATTTCAACCCAAATGTCTACGCTGCCTAAACATCTACAAATAGATATGAGTAAGGACTTCTACAACAAGTATTTCCAAGACCTGATGCAAAAATATAATATCAATCATTACAGTACCTTCTCGAACTTGAAAGCCAGAAAGGGTGATAAGAACTTCGAAGTTAATCTGGAAACAATTTAGTTTACAAGGATCCTACAAATGGTTGAATATTCTTCCAGAAATTATTGACAAATATAATAACACTAGGCATTCCACAACTGGTATAAAACCAAGTAAAATTTATGATAAAGATGCCAAGTATATCACTGCATTCTCTCATTTGGAAACTGCAGATCTCAAAAAACCAAAGTTTGAAAAGGGAGATTATGTTCGAATCAGCAAGTACCGACATGTTTTCAAAAAGGGATACACATTGAATTGGACGCCTGAAGTGTTTAGAATTGAGGAATTCAGAAAGACTGATCCAACCACGTATATTTGAGAAGATAACAGAGGAGAAGAAATCCAAGGAGGATTTTTCACTGAAGAGTTACAGGAAGTCACGCATCCTGATGTGTTTTTGGTGGAGAAAGTGCTTCGCAAAAAGAGTGATATGCTGTATGTCAAATGGTTAGGGTTCGATAACTCGCATAATTCTTGGATAAATAAAAATGATATAGTGTAATGAAATAATGTATTTTTGATGTTTGAACTGAAATGTTGAAATAATAAACCAAAATGTTATATGGAGAAGGTTTATTTGTTCATACACTTTATTTCTATGACCTACATCTGAAATAGGATTGATATATACAGCGGCTTCTTGAATACGACTACTGAAGCGGTTTTTATCAAGGGCAGCTGCTTGCCAAGAACCTCGCCTCACTTCTTGATAAGCATAATTCCATGTGTATAGTGAATGAATGTTCGCTCCGCTTCATTGTCTTGCTGATTGGTTGAATATAATTCAATTGCATGTCCTTCATCCACATATCCTCTTCTCGCTCTAGAAGGAGCTCAGGGTGATAATAGATAAGCTCCAAACCGAGAGTGTACATTTCAGCATTTAATTTTTTAACTGTTTCCAGTGCAGCTAGTGAGGTGTTTATTATCTCATTTTTTGCTCCTCCTCGTGGAATATTCATGACAACGCCAAGTCCTAGGTGCTTCAATAACTCTAGTCTATATTAGATAATGGGTATGATCAATATAGAAGGTTGTGAGAGTGTGCGGTCGATTAATTTTTAGCTCCGTAAATGATACACCTTATCAGTGAGTTGACCAATTAAAATCAAACAAAGTTTGGTATCAAAATGATCAGAATAAACTGATCTATCCATTGATCTGAACTGAACTGTGGAATAGTGTGCATTTTGAATCTAATTGCCGATTGCAATTCAAACTCAAATACTTATTACCTACCTAAACCCATACATTAACAAAAAGTCGTTAACATTTTTTGTGAGTATGCCCGAAGTGTGTGGTTTTTGCAGCTCTCAGGTGAGCCGTACTAATCCAGGCCTCAAATGTCAAGGTCGTTGCAGCAAATATTACCACTCGAAATGTGCAAAGCTACCTCCTGGGTTCAATGACCTCCCAGCTGATTCTGGTATCCTATGGCTTTGTAAACAGTGTATAAGTCAACCTCAAGCAAAAACAACTGATATCGAAGGACCTCCACCCTTTGTGAAGGAACTTATGATGGAAATGGACTTGATGCATAATGATATGAACGATATGAAGAAGCAGCAGGATGAAGTTTTCAAATCCTTGAATTTTTATGGAGATAAATTAGATGAATTTCACAAGCAGATGGAAGATGTTCGTAAATACCTACACCAGATTGATAACCTCAAAGAGGAAGTTGCTGTCGTTAAGAACGAATGCACATCACTTAAGGCTGAACTTGAATATATGCAACAACTCAGTCGAAACAATAATATTGAGATATGTGGAGTAGTCGAAAGGAATGGGGAGAACTTGATAAACGTTGTGCAAAATATCAGTAACGTCGTTGGTTTCGATTTTCGTAGCCAAGACATTGACAATATTCATAGAGTTAGACACTTTTCAAACAATTCCAACCCCAAGATGCCCAAGAATATTGTTGTGAAATTTACCACAGGAGCGAAGAAAGCTGAATGTATGGATGCTATCCGGAAAGGAGAGAATAAAAAGAGTCAGCTACCAAACAACGAATTTCCAGTTTATGTTAATGAGAATTTCTCACCTTATTATAAGGCATTATTCAGAATATCCAGAGAATTCTGTCGCCTCAAAGGCTATAAGTTATGTAAGTTAAGATAAAATTTTTGTTAAAAAATCCGATGACAGTAGGGCCATCTACGTTAAAAACGAAAACGTTATTGATAAGCTGTCCTCCTGATCTCATATATCTTCTTTTCATCAAGATGTGTAACCCCTACTAGGTACATTCAATCTTGATAGCGTTAGTATCTATTACCAAAACACAAGAGGCCTGAAGACTGAACAATTTTTCAAGTCTTCCAGTTCCTGTGATTATGACGTGATCTGCCTTACTGAAACATGGCTGAAAGAAGAAATATCTAGCTCTGAGTTATTCCCAACAAACTATAGTGTATACCGGAGTGATCGCAATGCCCTGACTAGTGGTAAAAAAGAAGGAGGAGTTTTAATCAGTGTTTCTGATAAATTTAAATCGACTCTAGTTTCAGAGTGGTGCACAAACGGCATAATTGAGGACTTGTGGGTCTCACTGGCACTAAATGAAGGCAAGTACCTACACATTTGCCACGTATATGTTCCTCCACATACAGTTTTGAATAATTTAATACTTTTTTTTTCAAAATTTAGAAAACATTATCAACAGAAAAAAAAATGACCATTTTATAATTATTGGTGGCTTCAATTTCCCTAACTTACACTGGAAATTGGATCAACCTCTGAATGCCTACTGCCCTTCAGGTGCCAGTGATGCCAAAAGTGAATATTTTGTTGATAATCTAGCCGAGTTGGACCTTAAACAATTTCCCAATATATCGAATGTAAACAATAGAATTCTAGACTTAGTATTCTCAATTTCATTGAGGGTTTCCGTTGACAGATGCTTCTTTCCATTTGTACCGGAAGATTATCACCACCCTGTTCTGGATATTTCCTATAATCTGGTTTCTCCAAAACTAATGCCTTGTAATTCTTATCGCTCATACAGATTTCACGAGGCTGATTTCAACAGTATCAATAGAGAACTAGCGAGACACGACTGGGATGAGATTTTTCTGAACTGTCATATTGACGAGTGTGTTGAACGGTTCTATGGAATTGTCGAAAATTTGATCCATAGATTTGTTCCACAAAAAGTCGTGAACAAGCAGAAATTTCCTATCTGGTTCTCTAACCACACCAAAAATCTGATAAAGCGTAAAGAAATTCTCCACCGTAAATGGAAAAAATAAAAAATCAAGTTGACTTCGATGAATTTAGTGAAATGCGCAGGTTAGTCGAAAAAAATATAGACAGAGATTACAAAGCCTATGTTCAAGAAAGCGAAAATAATATCAAATCGAATCCAAAACAATTCTGGTCTTTTATTAACAATAAAAAAAAACAAAAAATCTACCTGACATTTTCCTTCAAGACGATGTATCCGTGTCAGACCCCACTACAATATGCAACCTTTTTTCACAACATTTCCACAGTGTCTTTGTTTCTGATTCGTCAACAACAGATGTAACCGCGAAGGTGAATAACTTAAACATTTCCCTCTCCGCCACCACCTGTGAAGAAGTTATTTCGACTATACAAAATTTAGATGTTGTAGCAGTTGAAATTGCTACAATAAGTTTTTAGTTTATCATCTATTTTTTAGTTTATTTTTACCTGGTGTATATAAGTAGTCTGGTGAGAAAATACATACTTACAGAGAACACTCAGTCATTAGATAACAGTCGATAAATCAGATCTTCATCTTTATTACAAAATAAAAACAAATACAGCTGATTCCAGTAAACATATTATCCATTCAGATTATTTTCCCTGAGGCTCAGCATACCTGTAGGAAGTGATGATTTTAGCTTCGGCTTCGTTCTCTGATCCAATGAACAGGTCCTGAAATTTAGGGAAAATAATATAATATAGATCTACTTTGAGCTAGATTAAATGACTTACCTGTGATGTTCCTCGGAGTGATGGTACCATTATGGACTCAGGGGTTTCTTTCAGTTCAGAGTGGTCGTTCGATATTTGTTTGTTTTCTTTACTTTTCTAGGACTCTTTTGTGGTTAAGTATGTCCTATTCTCACTCTAGCGTGGAACTACGGTCGTCGTGAGCATCAATAGTCTTCGCAACTTGCAGTAAAAAGGAGAAGAAGAAGAAGCGTTCATCAACCCTGGCTGCTTATTTACATCATGGTTTTTTTAAGGAAAAAGAAGAACGAGAATACTCTTCTGTCTTTGGTTCCTATTTCATTTAGGTTTATTTGAACTATTCGTTCCCAGCTTTTATCTCGACCAATAGGATGCGAGAAAATTATTTTTCTCGGATTTTTGCTGTTTCGTGAGAGGTCGGTGTTAAGGGTGGGGGAATAGGGACTGGTCGAGGAAGATTTCCTTTGGGAAGCTCTCTTCTCGGGCAGCCATGATGACGACTTGAGCCATTAAGTTTGGTGGTGATATTTTTGATCACTTGGTGAAAACCGGTGAAATATCAAGTTTTGTTCTATAACGTTTTCAACGCTAAGCGTAATCATCACCAACTTAAAGATTTGAGAGCTGATGGTTGTTCGCTGCTTTTGGAGCCGCCTGGTAGTGACGCCACGTGCCAGCTAAGATGTTTGGCCCTTCTTCAACCCTTCTCAGAAGGGTGCTAGGATGTGCCTAGGGCACTAGTGGTTTATGACCTGCCACTGATCTCCTGCGCTGTGTTTCGCCGTCACGTCGGGAGGAATACCCAGGACGAGGGGCTACGGAACTCAGCATACAGATCGGAGGGGGCTCTTTTCGTTCTTCCCTTTTCACTGCAGCTAATCCGCTGAAATGCATGCTGCCGTCACGCCGGGAGGAATACCCAGGAGGAGAGGCGTCAGGATCCAGCCCAGTGGATTAGTGGAAGCACCACCTTTCTTCGCTGGACTTCTGGACCGACTGCTGTTAGCACGCCAGGAGGAATACCGAGGAGCAGGGGTTGCAGCATTCGGCCCAGCAGTTCAGCCCCCATCTCATCTTCATCGCAGACCATCATCATCGCAGACCATCTTCGCAGTCACCTACAGCCACATCATCACCAGAGCGGACCGTGATAGGGGTGATATGGACCTCTGGAGAGGACCTTCCCCCTATTTTTGACCAGGTTTTTGTTAGGGACTTTTAAAATCTCAAAATTAATAGATTCAACCATTTTCTAGTGTAAAACTCCCTGTGAAGCTTCACCATCGTACCATGAGACAGCGGTCTCAGTTTTACAATTTTTGATGATTTTTTGCTTAACAAATCCATAGAATATTGACCATTTCCCCATGTATTTAATTTTTAAATATCTAGAAATTATCACTATTTATCTGACTCAGTTGAAATTGGTTAGGATGTCCTCTACAGCGGTCTGAATGTGCCTTGTCTGGCTCTGGTGAAGAATAAATAGGTTGCAGGAATATTTTTGTTTCATTCCACTGTCTGTCCCGCTTGAATATTTCAGGAACACAAATTCGTTTCAATATTTCAGGAATATCTTTTTTAAGCATATTTTCTAGAGCATATTTTGTATAGCATATTTCTGGCATTTGTTGTGAAGTATTTTGTTATATCAGATCAAAGTATTTGGTTTTCTCAATTATCCAAATCAATTCACATTTTGATATTAAATTGAGTGGCGTCCAAAAATAACTCGAAAATCAATCTCGAATCCACATCAACTGTTCTCTGGCGAAAAGCAGCCGTTCGCATATGTACTTAATTTTCTTTTAAATTCAAATTGATTGAAATTTACGTGATCAGAAAGATAGGTTACATAAATGTCGTCCAACGTGTAGGGCCCGAAATTTCGAGTTTTGTTTTTGAGTAAAATTATAAAAGTGTTGTGTTTCCTGAAGTTTTTGAGTTGGCGGTTGGTGGAGTGAAATACTACAAGGAATTAGGAAGGTTTGTTCTGATGGTTGCTTTCACTCTTGGGAACACTGCAGGTGAAGTTAAGGGAAATTTTGAAATTTTTTGGGGATATATTTTGCGGTTTTTCTCGGGTTTTTATCAAAATTTATGAAGACATTGGATATTTTTTGGCAAATTTTAGCTATTTCACACTAAGCACCAACAGGGGTATGCGGAAATTTCTGTGACAGCACATATATTATCACACTTTTATTTGTTCTCTCTGCTCAGGTGTAAGTCAATATGGAGTCTCTTAAAGTAAAGCATTTGCTTATTGGGGAAATCAATTATGAATTAAGGATTAGAGGAGTTATGTCTGACAGGAATATGGATGACAAAAGAAAGATTTTGGGACGTTTAGTTGCTAAAGAGTTGCAACAGGGGAAAGATGTACTAAACTTAGAAGATCCATCATTCAACTTTGCTGTTGATAAAGTGGAAATAGAGAATACTTTAGCATCAATTACAACTTTAATTAGTGATTTTGAAGGTCCATCTTCTGACTCTGCATTTAAAAGAGCTTTGTCTAGATTGAGTCATGTCACCCTAAGAATACAGAGAATCCCTTTGAACATTGCAGACGCTGATCATGCAGAAAAGTCAGTATTCAAAAATGAAGCATATGCTTCTGCTTTACAACTGGATGCGGAGTTGCATGAAAAAGTCATAGAACCAGACCCAGTACAAAATAACATGCCTCTGATGAACTCTACGGTCAATCCTGGAGTTAGTATGGCCCAAAATCCTTCTTTTTCACACTTGTCAAAATCTACCCCAGTATACAAATTAGGAGTACAGTTTGATGGAGACCCTAAAAATCTTTTGTCATTCATAGAACGAATTGAGGAACTTGCACAATCTAGGCATATTTCTAAGGGGGAATTATTCGAATCAGCTAGTGATCTTTTCACTGGAAAAGCCACTTTTTGGTATAGATATGTCAGAACCCAAGTTACTGACTGGGATTCTTTAGTTTTGAAATTGAGAAAGGATTTTCTTGTTTCTGATTATGAGGATGAAGTATGGCAACAGATTAAAAGTAGAAAGCAGGCCCAATCTGAGCCAGTTGTAATTTACATTGCGTGCATGGAAGCACTTTTTAATAGGTTAGATCACAGGGCAGCTGAAGTAACTAAGATCAAGTATATTAAAACAGGGTTAAAACCTGACTATAGAAGGAGATTGGC